TGCTGATGCTACACTGAAATTCAACTGACCTCTTTCTGAGTACAAAATTGAGGAACATCACATTTCACAAATAGTCTGGGCTCTCAATATCTGAATTCAGGTTTTTTTCACATAAGATCACTAAAAGAATGATGAAATACCAGTAAAGTATATTCTGTAACTTGTACCTTTGCTCCATCTCAGGAAGACTTTGCTGAATCTGGATCAGAGGATTGAATAGTCTATGATTTTGATTGTTTTGAATATCCCTATGAATGTTAATTTGAGAGCAAGATAAAATTTGGAGTTTGAGTCAAAATAAAATGATGCAGTCTGGGATTTGATAATTGGTATTTGTTACCGATCTTATTATCAGCTTTTAGCATCCTTTCTCAAATGTGTTAATAGTGTAAAGGGATGTAAAGCTGTTTGTTAATAATTATTCTCAGTTTCTCTGTTCCTTGCATATGCATACCTAACCATTAGAACAGGGCAGAACTTTCAGGAGAGTTTCCCTCATGACACTCACCCATGCCTCTGGAATCATCTCATGAATTCAGAATGGGAGATTGTAGCCAAGGTCTTCCTTTTCTAAAAAATATTTTCATTTAGGCTTTACCTTGTGACAGTCTCTATAGTGCATTAATTGGTTCTGCTTGTAATCAACAAACCTGAGTATTTCTACTCTAAATGTGCAGAAATAATAGAAAAGCATGGCTTACTCTTGCTTGAATTATATCCAGTCCTGTATCTCAATAATGCAACTAGAAGTGGGAGGGATATCAAACACAATGAATAATTTATAAAGTATCAAATCTATCCACATGCCAAACAAGAAAATCATCAAAAGGGAACATAAGTAAAGCCTCATGTATGCACCAGAGAACTGTGCAATGTTGACATAGTTCGAAGATACTCGTGTGCAACAATGAACTGTGGTGAGGCTGATTTCTTGAAGATATTGGTGAACCAGGTCCCAAACCACCTTATAGAAATGAATTAAACAAAAGATTATATTGAAAAAAACTGTAAACCTCAAAATCCTTGATCAATTTAAGTTTTTGAGGGACAAGTGTAATCATATTTTTATGTTTTTCATTTTGATTTTATTATAGACTACTTAATAGCTTTTGTCAGTAAGATACAAGCCAGTTTCCCCAAACGGCTTTATAGTGCGTTTTGTATATGGACCAAAAAAGCAACACATCTCTTTCATTGGTGCCCATCCCTTCTAATTATTTCCTATATTATATTATTAATTATAAATGCATACTTACTTATTTTTGCATAGAAAATATTTATCATATTTTTAAAAGGTTGTTTTGAAAAATATTAAATCAGGATAAATTAAAATTGATCTGTGGAGATCAAATATCATAAGGGAATTTCAGTTTCCTATTAAAAACAATTTCGATAATATCCATAAATATTCAAAATATTACTCAAACCAGTGAATGCATTTCAAGCCGTTCAAAGCTATCTAAAATTAAAAGTGTTATTCGAGATAGAGACTAGGATGAATGAGTAATTTAGTCATGCTAATTCTTGAGATTGAAGAGGGAATTTAGCACTTCTTTGGTGTGAATGAAAATTTAGATACTAAGGGCTGAGTCCTTATTTATGTTATTCAGACTCTTGCAGAGGCTTTCTACTAGATTGTGTAAATTGTTGTAGAAACCATCAGAAAGATCAATAGAACAAGTTTTCTCATTTTACATTTATATATCTTAATTAGTGTGTGATGCTGCAGACATTAATATCCTACGATAAATCATGCAGTCATAGAAACTTAAGTAGAAGTATATTTTGTATATTATAATATAATATATTATACTATTATAATATATACTATTATATATATATTATAATATATAATATACTTTGTATATTTTTCTGGAAAGAAAATAAAGTAGTTATCAGGAAGACAAAACTTATTGACATGTGGCATAGGAAATAGTGGTTTAACAGCAGGGTAATCAATAATATTTTTAAAGATCTTCTCCAGATCTTCCTGAAGCTGCTGACAGTCATTCCTAGACTGTGTGTACTGAAAGAGCCAAGCTAATGAAGAAAAAGTAGAATTTAGTTGTTATGTTCACCACTATGTCTATCTACCCAAAACAAAAACTGTGTTGCCATTCACAGTTGTGTCCAGAAGGACCAGGTAGGTTGTCATTAGTGCTGAGTGGCTTCCGCTCAGTTTATTTTGTGTGTCATTGGATTGTTATTACAGTTTTAAGCCTAGTTCTAATGAATGGCTTCCTGTTCATATTTCTTTTTAACCTGCTATCATAGATGTTGCCAAAAAGGGTCATTTTGGGCCTCTCTGCAATACAAGCTATTAATGAAAAGCTATGGTAGAACTGAGTCCAAGGCTTAGCAGCTCAAGGTTTAACCAAAGGAATTCTGCTGTAGATCAGTTTGGAAAAAATTGTCTTCACATCCTTCATTTTGCTGTCTCACCTAGAAGTTTTGAGCATCCGCTCCTTATTTAAAAACAATACCAAAGAAAAGAAAGAATTTTTAAATGTGGTGTGATTTTTATTCCAGTTAAAAACCCCTCAAGTGTTGTTATACAAACATTTGATGCTTTTGGAAATACTAGGGAATGTTTCAGGTGTTTCAAGTTTTGCTGTTAAGTTGGTGTAAGTTTTATTTGGCATAAATGTTTCTCTTCATGTTTCTGAAAGATTTGCCACAAGCTGTTTGGTCTAAAGGCCCTGATTCTGAAGGGTTTTCTGTCCAGAGAATTGGTGTTAGCCTCAAGGATGTGATGTGCTTACCTGTCAGGGGTTATTACATTAACATATATCTGTAGCTCTCACATTTTGCAGAAAAAAGTAGCTGAATTATTTCTCATGGTCTTGTGTTGCCCATCTAAAATGAAATCTTAACCCATATTTCTGTAAATTCTAGTTTAGCACTTAGAAAAATTACCCTGTAGTTGAAAGTAGGATTTGAATATTGTGATCAGATGAATTCTAGCTAAATGTTCCTATGATGGTTTTCAGTAGATGATTTATGTTAGCTAAAATACCATTCTGCCTATAGAACATGGATTCAGTTTTAAATTATTACCTCTGTCAGTATCCACTGTCACAGCAGGAAATGAAAATGATCTTAGAAGGGCCCTTCTTCAGCTCCTGCGTTCAAATTCTCTTTGAGCCACCATCCTTTTGTTTTACAGAATGCATTTAAGGAGTTGAACTTATCTTTTGTGTGAAATAAAGTAACATTACCAGTGTAAATTGAATTTTCTCTATTGTTTTTATTTACATTTATTTATTGAATTAATCTATTTATTGAAATAAATCCTGATCGTAAATTCTCTGTTTATGAAGGCTGTCCAGGATACGTGTCAATTTAGAGGGATATATTTGATAGGGCATAGCCTTTTTACTGGATGTCACTAAAAAGACAAGTTTTTGGCAAACATACGGCAGTCTTGGTCAGTATTTTGATTTACATTTGCTATTTTACCTAAACCACTCATAATACAAACTGAAATGAACACATTGCATGCAGATTTTGCAAGTCTCAGGAAATGTATCTGGAAAATGGATTTTCAGATGGAATTCCTATGGAAAGGATAGCCTGGGCAGAGACAAAAAAAAAATCCATCATTGAACATGTGCTATCCTTGTAGGCTCATAAAATACTGGTGAATTTAACTTGTGCATATCTAACTAATGGTATTTAAGTTAGAATTTTGACATATACCTGTCTCAAAAAATTAAATTCTCTCCTTTCTGAAAATTTCAAATGCTCTTATCCTGTCAGGTCCCAAAGGATCTGTCAGGTGGTCTAGTCTGAAAATACACAGAAAATGCTGGTATAGATTTTAAGGTTCTCCTGGTGTGCAGCAATACTCAGTGTTCTCTGTGGAATGTGTACTGGGAAGTGTGGGTCACACTCAGCTTGAAGGTTGCAGTAAGTGATAGGCCAGCTCATGCTTTGGTCTCTTAGGAAAGGATTCATTTTGTAAAATCAAAAAGTCACCTACTCAAAGCTGATGGCTTCTTTTATATTCATGGGTGGAGATATAATTCTTCCATTTTGTCTTACGTATGTGATTTTTCAGGAAGAATCCTGGAGCTGCCTATATCTTTCTTAATTTCCTAGACAGGAAAATGATTGATGTCAGGAAATAGCTCCCCCAAGGCTTTTGACATACAGTGAGAGAAAAAATTGCTGAGCATTATCTCATTCCCTGTAACTTTTCACATTTTTATGTTTGTTAAGCTGTCAGGTGCTTTTGAAAGGCTCATTTTGTTTTCCAGAAAGGAAATAATTCCTGCCCTTGCTGAAAATTATGGTAAAGCCTAATGGATTAAACACTGGAAAAAGGTCATCATTCTTAGCATTTTCTTTACAGAGACGTAAATATTTACATCTCCTTTTCTTCGGAGAATATGTTACTTTCATGTTACTTTTCTATTATGCATTTTTAGGGAAAGCTCTTGAGCCAGTGTACAATTTAGGCTCATACCTGAGATACCATTATTATACACAGCAATAATTAACTTTTTTTTTTCAATTAAGTAAGTTGTTGTTTAGAAAGTTGTTTCACCATCTGAAGTGTTTGGATTGAATTTTTGGTTCCATTGAAGTCAGTGGT